GACAGCAGCCTGGCACCTCTTCCAAGGTAAGACAAAAGCAGCCCTAAGTATTGGAATGATCCCAAACTTAGTCCACATGTAAGCAAGAAGATTCCCTAATGTAAAATTAACCATGTGTGACAGCATAGAGATAACGATATGGAACCAGCACTTTACACGGGTTCAGGTAAGGGTAGACACACACGAAGGTCTATAAACTTTAAAGGCTGTGGTTAGACTCTTGTCTCAAATTTTAACAATGACTCACTAGAATGGTGTATTTGTATAAAACAGATTTTACTGAATAAGATCCAGAATGCATTATGGGATCTCAAATACAGATATATTTATATATGTATATGTATATATATTTTTTTCTAATATATGTATATGTAATATATATTATATATATTTTTTCCTGATCTGAAATGATTGGAACCAGAAGCTTTTTGAATTTTGAACCCTTTTTTGCATTCTGGGAGCTCTACACGTGTATAATGAGGCCTCTTGGGGATTGGACCCAAGACTAAGCATGAAATTCATATGTATAACATAGTCCCCTTAAGTGCACAGCCTGCAAGTGACCCAGATGACCCTATATATCTTTATTCACCCATATTTGGACTACGACCTATCATGTGAAGTCAGGAGTAGAATTTTCCATTTGTGTTGCCATGGTGGCTCTCAAAATCTTTCCAGTGCTAGAGCTTCTTGGGTTGCAAAATCTCTGGTAAGGGATGTTCAGCCATGTATACATTCTACACAATGGAGGAAAAGAAAATCTAGTTGCCTCTGAGTAGTAAATAGTGGAGAACTGCTTCTCTTCTACACATCTCAAATTTACAGATGGAATTAGAGATTAAAATCATGCTTCCATCTCTATGTTCAACCTGACCCAATGAAATCTTTAAATAAAGGCTGTAATCTTTCCATACATTCAACCCAGGCAAAGAATTCCCAGGTGAAGTCGAAAGTAAAGAGACGGCAGAAGAAGAGAAAAAAATGAGAGAGAGGCAGGCTTCTCCTTGGCAGGCTTCTCCAGGAACAGTAGCTTTTAAACAAAAAAACATAATCCTATTGAGAAACACAAAAGGAAGGTGGAAGGAGCCCTCCTGACACAGCGCAACCTGGGGCCTCCCAGCTTTGCAAGATATGACATAGCTCCATCAAAAGACAGTCCTGCTGTCTTGAGCAAGTATGTGAGACATTTGAAAGGGAGAGAATGAACTTCCACAGGCTGCATTCATGGAGGGGCTCACATGGTGGCAGGCTCAGAGACCACAGGCACGTGACTCCAACTCAGCAGTTCACACCTATGGGGGTGTCCCTCATCAGCATGGACTGAAGGCCGTGGCTGAGGCCACCCTTCTCCGACATCCAGGACACAGAGAAGTATCTACCGCATCTGGTGCCTCAGGAGTCGTGCAGCCCATGGTGAAAGCTATGATCTTAATGGGTTTAAACCGGGACCAGTCACCAGAAAACTAGGAGCCTGGGAATGCACGGACACGCCGCTGCAGCGGAGCTGGTGGTAGAAACCAGGTACCCCTGACCATTCTTGAAGACACTACTTTCATGGAGCTGGAGATGAGGATCTACTTCATACATTCAGCTAGCAAATACTTTGTGGAAAGCCTTCTATGTGTCAGGCCCTGTATAAAATGGATGGACTAGAAGGGAACCTAAAACCCTGTCCCTAACCAAAAAAAAAAAAAAAAAAAAAAAAAAAAAAAAAAAAACCACTTCATGAAGACTATTAACTCAGAAGGTCACGGGTTTCTAAAGAAAACTGCCTAACTGTCAGGGGCCCACTCCTGCTAAATCTTCAGCAGTGTAACCAATGGCCAATTATCTGATGGCCAATTACTCAAGCTCACAATTACCCAATCTTATGAACTAGAAAAATACAAAAGACAGTGGGCTGCAGACTAGAATGGGAGGGAGCATTTGCCAGCCTGAGAGCTGGGCAGTGTTTGGGTTTTTGGTTTAGGGGTTTTTTGTTTGTTTTTTTTTTACCCTCCTCACACCCTCCAACCAGCAAGGAATCTTGAGTTCATTTCTTTCACACACTGCTTTTCTGTCTCACAGAGAGGTATCCAGAGACCTCCTGCCAGCGTACTTCAAATCTGGGGGCAAGGAGGGACACAGTCTGGGCTGTGTTGGGGTTCCTTCTGTCTCTGCCAGGCTGATCCTGAGAGACTTCCCAGACAAAAAGACTGCCATACCATGAGACTGCATCACTTTCAAATCTAAAGGAGTAAGGACTGGAGAGAGGGCTCTCCAGCTACAAGCATCTGCTGCTCTTGTAGAGAGGCTACAGTTTGGTTCCCAGCACCCACATCAGGTGGCTCACAACCACCTGTGACTCCAGCTCTAGGGGATTCAAACCCCCTTCTGGCGTCTGCAGGCACCTGCACACAGTGCTCATGCACGCACACATGCACACACACACACACACACACACACACACACAAGCACGTAGACACAAGGGCACGCACTCACACACAACAGGGAGGGAATAATTAAAAATAAATAAATCTCCTTAAATCATTTTTAAAAATTCAAAGCAGAAAAAAAAATTGTCCTCAATTATCAACAGTAGATGTTAACAAAATGAAAGACAAGAAATAAAAATACTGTTCCAAAGCATATTTTTATGCCCTATATACTAATATTGACAGGATTCTTCAACACAGTGTACAACTTCCAGTAAGAACTTTCAATTAAACATCAGCAGGTTCGTATCCAATTCAATATTTTAAAAGTAGCATTTGCCTCGCACTAAAAGGGTGGCGGGATCAGAAAAAGCAGACTCCTCGTAATACGAATTATAAACAAATGCCATTGGGAGAAAGGGGGCCAGAAAGGGCCTGTCGGGGCAGGATCAAAGAGGAGTATTCAGTCCAGCACAAGCAAAGACACCACTGTGGTTCCAGAAAATTACACTGAAAAATCTCTAAAGCCACTTCCAAGTCAATTAATAAATTAATAAATTCTGATGAAAGCTGGGAATGCAAGGCACCAGTTGCAAGTTACAAATTTCTTCCCCAGCGTCTGGGCTGAGGACTATCTCCTAGTTCACCACGGGTCCCATGCACTAGAATTTTGATGACAATTCATAGGTACAGGGAGGTTCAGGTCCATTCCTGCTGTACACTCTAAGCAAGTCTTCTGAGAATTACCGGGCATGCACCATCCCAGCAAAACTTGAATAGGCCTGAACAGAGCTCCGAAGTCTAGACCAAATCATTGGGCCCTTTGTTTAACCGCAGGAGCCTCATTATATCTGCATACCAACCTGTCCACTAGCCCTCTGGGGAGAGAAGCTGGCTTGGTCCCGGGTGGCCCCAGGAGCTTGGCACTCTCGAGATGCCCGCCTGTCTGGTCCCACCCTCTTGCAACCCAGAACGCCAGCAAAGTCCATTTTTAAATTCCCTCAGAAGTTTCACAACCACAGGTTTGAGTGAGGAGACAAACACCGCTTTAGTTTGCTGACATTAAACTAAAAATACAAGCTACAAACAAAAGCCATCTTTTACCAGAACTGGCTGGGGTGTTCTGGGGTTCCATGTGGTAGCACAAGACATATTCTTGGCAGCCAGGCCGCCTCAACAACTGTTCCACAAGGAAGAGGGGCCAGTCTGTCCCTGCGCTGTCAAGGAATCCCACAGCCAGCCGGCAGCCCTGCCTGTTTGATGCAAAGAACAGCTTTATGGCTCTACCATCCACCAAGAGGCAGGCTTGATGAATTCGGGGCCGCGTCTACTGAAAATGTTAGACACACACTTAAGAAGGCAGGAGGCGAAGCCAACCTTATTTCCCTGGAAGTAAATGTGTTTCCCTCACCCTCCTCCCTGAAATTAGAAAAGTAAATTATTACTGTGGCAACTCTGCAGCATCAAAAAATGGGTCTCGATGCCAACGTGGCCCAGCACAGGTCTGCTGAATCCAGGATAAATGGGAGAAGGGGCTCCGGAGACCAAGACTGGGAGGCAAAACACACAACCTTCTCAGAAACTCCTACCTGTTGGGTTTCTAAGCCATACAGCACAGCCGGGCCAAGGGCACTCCATGGCGCCCCTCCTCCTCTAGTCCCAAACTTTCTTTCTGGAACCCCCGGAAGAGGGGAGCCTGGGTTCTCCCTATCCTGATAGCAGATGTAGAATTTGTTTAGCCTAAGACAGGGAGGATTGCAGAAGGATTCGTTCTTGTGCTGCGGATCTCCGAATGCTCGGAACCCAAGAAGAGGGGATGAGCCTAGGAACTGCACAAAGTATCTCCAAGAGCTGTGGTGGCCAAACTATGACCCAAAAAGCTCTGGAGACCCTAGGTAGGGGTCTAGAGCTGGAAGGTGGTTGGTGGGCCAGGCCCTGGAGCGCCAGCTGCAAGGTCACTGCGGAGCTAGACCCTGGGTGTTTCGCAAAAGATCATGCCGGGTGGAGGGAAGCGCTGTGAACCCACCCACCCTCTCCCCACACCTGCTCGGCGCAGCCGGGCATGGAACACGTGGTAGCTCGGCTTAGGGCTTCTCAGGCGGCAGCAGGGACCCACTACCTCGCCCGGGCGTGCATCAGCCGCCCGGGGGTCCTCAACCAGGAAGAGGCAGCGCTCCCTGGCGCAGAGCAGCCGGCTCTCGGTGCCTGTTTCATTCCAGCCCTCAAGAGCAACCAGGACCGAGTTGTGTTGTCCTCCTACTAACCCTCGATCCTGGCAGCTTCCAACAACCCCTACCTTTCTCTACCACCTAGCCAACAGACAAGACACAAAGAAAAAAAAAAAAAGAAAGAAAAGAAAGACGGGGGCCACACACGCCGCCTCTCCTTGCAGTCTCAACCTCCAGCCTGGAACTGAGAGAGGAAGAGGAAGCGCACCTTCCCTCTTCCCATCCCAACTCCGTGACCCACGGATCCCGGCAGCAAGGAGCCCAGAAGAGGCCGAAGGGAAGAGGTGAGGTTGGAAGAAGCAGAAAGCAGAGGGAGAGAAGAAAATATCCAACAAAACCACGCTAACGCGCCCCCTACCTGGGTGCAACATACTTTGGAAATAGAAGATGACCAAGATAAAGGATCCCAAGCAAGTGGCCAGCACCATCCGGCAAATTCTGTTCATCCTCATCACTTCCAGCAGCGCCGGCTTCATGGCTTTGTCCTGGCCGCGGGGACCCGGC